TCAAGATAGTTTTTTATCCGCTTGTCTTGCAGTAACGTGTTATACTCGTGAAGATTTTAAACAGAATCAAACAAGCATGAATATTACTCGATTTTATGAATTCAAATTCAATACTATTCTTCTGTTATCAATTATTCCACTGTGGAGCAAAAATTGATATAGAATATGCTTACCGTTTTATTCTTTTCCTCATACGTTTTTTATGTCAAGGTAGTTGTATCGATCATAGTTAAAAAATAGATCATAGGGCAAGGGGTTAATAAACTTAATAAATCGCAAGGAGAGGTGTTAATCGGGCCTCCATAAAGCCGTAAGCAAACATTAAATACAAGTTCAAGTTCTCCTCTGCGAGTTAGGTTCGTATTACATAATAATGTTTATAGAAACAGTAGATAAACGGTAGTACCATGCTGACGGATGGATAATGTAGCAATAATATCAGCTTTTCGCGACCATCTCGTAAACCAAGACCAATCGATGATTGTTACATATAAAAAAATGTCGTTCTAAATGTTGACTCCTATATCACATTAAAAAATCCTCGAAACCGATGGGTCGGAGCATGGACATAGCAACGCACGTGTATTCTATATAGTAATTACCAGAAGCTTTTGTATTATTCAATGTCCTTGTCAGAAATGACGAATTCGCGTGGTGTTAAACACGCCGGGCGTCCCCGAGCCGTTCTCTCCGGCTCGGGTCCCGGCTGAACAAACCACGCACGAAGTCAACACGATGTACGCTCATTTACTTATTCCTATTCGACTGTCAGTGTCGTCGTCGCAGAAAATATGTAGGAGTGTGTTGCGCGTGCTGGACACCGACAGTAAACGCAAATGTACCTATGTATCCGTTCTCCTTTTCTCTCTCGTCACCCCTCCACCTTGTCATCCTGCCATTCTCTTTCTCTCTTTTCCTTTCCCTTCCTCTCTCTCACTCTCTCTCCCTCTCTCTGTCTCTCTCTCTTTCTCTCTCAGTCTTTCTATTCCAGTTCATCTTTCTCATTCTCTCTCTCGTCGCATTGTGCTTCGGTTCTCGATCCCTCTTCCGAGCCCTTACCGCAAGCCGCAGCCCACTACACTTTTGCACGAACACGCGCGCGTTCATTATCAACGTACAACGTCGTATAACCATATTTACGTAGCCCCGGTGGTCACCCACACGGGCACGGCGTGTGCAATGAGGTTGCAAAGAAACGGAGTCCGCGCACGCGGAGGAACGAAACGCTATTTGTCGTTGCGCCGCTGCACCCGCCGTGCGCACGGCGACCGACCGGCAGGAAGGGTAGTCGAGACGTCGAGAGGCCATAAATGCAATTGGAAACCTTTAGCTGATATATTCGTACAATTTCCTGACGACCGGACGAAACGGAAGTCGTGCGTTGCACGGTGTCGTGGCGAATTCAACTTTAACCCTCTGAAGACCATGGGGAGGCTTCTCGAACGCATCGCGTTAAAAATTTGAAAAGAAACATTTCCCTCATATCGTTTAAATATTTTATTTTATTATATTTTATTATATTTGTGGGATCTAGAATTCAGGGTGTGGCGAGAATTAATATTTTCTGTGAAACGTTTTAAAAACACAATATATTTTACAGCATTCTCACGTAACAATACTGATTTTCGTAACTCTCTCTCTTTCTCTCTCTTTCTCGCTGTCTCACACAGACACACACACATTCGGGGGTCATTAGTACTTGTCGTTACTCCGATTGTTTACAGGACAGTCGTCGACCTTGTGATTGTCGGTTGATAGGCGACCTTCTTCAAATGCGCGTTTCTTTTTTTTGGGGGGAGGTCGATTTAACGTTTTTCTATCTCCCACATATTATATTATATTTTATTATATTTTCTATGTTTTATTATATTTTGTTATATTCATTAGATTCGATATATTTAACACAGGAACTACCGAGCGTTTAACCCGTTGCGCTGACAATTAAGTCAGAGATTCGGTAAAGTCTTGCGCAAAGAATTTTGTTTCCATTTATTTCATGCAGATATGAACACTAATATTGTTCGTAAGACCTCATTAGCAGTTTTGGAACAAAATTATCTCGGCGCGCGTGGCAGGTCATTCCACCACAATAGGTTAATATGATTTATATGTAATCCTTATACAAATTGCAACAATAGATTTTTTTTGGTTTCTTCGGATATTCATTGTAGTATTCAAATGAAACTATTCATTTTTTAAAGTATTTTGGATTTTTATCGTTGTTAAAAACTGAAACCCGCCATTTTAACGAGTCGGGTAGTCCTAGTGTTTATTATTTGTAGTTGAAAGATACATTTTGATCGAAACTGTAATAATTTGTTACTAATTTATCATCACTACTTTTTACCATAAACTTAAGAAGGCTTAGGGAGCTTGTATTGGTCTGTTAACCCGTTTGTATCATTAGCATATATATACGCTCAATTTTTCTGGTCACGTTTACATTTTTCATACTTTCTTATGATGCAAATGATCCCTACCATTCGCGATTAATAATGAAACGATTTTTATTTCTCTGAAGTACAGTCGGATTTAGATAAGCCGAATCGGAAGGAAAGATAGAAGATCTTCAAATCGTAGATGTATCGTGTTACCAAGTTGTCGAGTGAAAGAAGTTTAACAAACGAAAATTGAATTTATAGAAGTTTCGTTAGATGATCGCAGAACCAATGATCTTACGAGGCCGATGCAAAAACCGCAAGTGTCGATACATGGTGTATAGATTACAAATGTGTTTAAGTAACAGTGATAGAACATTGAACTACACATATATCGTAGTCGAAAATAACTTTCGTCTTGTAATGGTTGGTTTCCAAATTCGGTTTATTGAACACAAGGCGAATAGCTTGAGTTTCTACATGTCGAATTCTAAAAGCTTTATAACGGAGTAAAAGTCAGTGAAGTAATTTTACCAGTTATAAAGGTTTGTCAGTTACAATAATTTGTGTAATCGATTAAAAAATTTACCAACACTAATGTTTTTACTATCAGAAAACGAATAACCATAGGAACTTCACATGTAGCGTGGATGTAGATTACTCATTGTATCATCCGTAAATTACTTCCAAGCAATAAGAAACATTTACCCAACTAAAACCAAATATCGAACAGCAAATTAAAGCGCCAAAAAAGTATACTACATAGTTGCAGCCTTGCTTACTTCAAGCGGCAGTAAAAGAATGAAATGTGTACTCTAGCTCAGGTCAAATGCACCTATAATATATTCTAACAAAAAGCTAAAGCAAAACGAAGAAGAACCACATGTTTATGTGAAAATATAAATAACTAATCGCTGAAAGAATTAGTATCATTTTGATTTTAAGATGACGCGTATATTCATCGAACGCAGTTAATATGTTGAATACTATGGAAATCACCGGTGACCCCAAATCAAATCGAATTACTACAGTTCACTTAATTAAACGATGATTGTTTCACAACATTTGTACATTATAAATAATACTACCTAATGCGATAACATTCAGCTAGATCAACGTGCAGTAATAATGCAATTCATTTATATTGTACTTTTTCCATTTTGTGTCTTTCGCTCTATGAAATCGTGCGGCATTCAACGTGTTAACTGGTTAAAGCGGACCTCGCATTAAAAACGCGCCTCGTACTTCCATCGGGCGTTGAAATTCCAGCGAGAGCCGCGTGTCGCGCTGGTAGACGGTCTGATTTAGAGCAACCCCGTAGTCGGGCGGGCGGCGACCGTTTAACCGAATCGAAGATTCATCTTGCCGACGTCCTCGGAGCCGCTCTCGGCAGACGCGATGTACGAGCGGAGTGTGTAATACGATGAACACACGCTCGCCGAGCAAGCGCGCAACACCCCCGGAATATCACTAACACCGTCTCGCCTCACGCCAGCACCCACGCCAAAGGGGTCTCTTCTTACATCGCCGGTTGACTCGTGTTGTCCAGCTCTGGAGCGCTTTGACTCGCCCCTTCTTCGTCCCGCTGCGCAGCGTTCGCCGTGCACACGCGACGCAACACAAGCAACGTTCGGCACTCGGTTCCGGTACTCCTGGCTCTTGTGCCTTGTTGTAGCACACGGCGGAGCGAGCGAGAGAGTCATCGGGGTCTTCGTCGTCCATTCATCATAAGAAAGACGCAGACGAGAGGATCCTGGTGTACTCGGCTACACAAGAGAGAAAGGGAGAGGCAGTTAGGGCGAGAGAGATATAGTTACACTGGCGAGGGTTAAAGAAGATAGAGCATACGGGACGAGCGTACGAGCGAGCGAAACAACGACAGGCGATGATGCGGTGCACCTGTGAGACAAAGTCGAACAGCCTCGGAATGAAACGAATAAGAGAGACGAACGACCCGGTGGAGGCGGAAGATCAAGAAACAGCGTGAAGAGGATCGCGCTGCGTCGCGGCTGCAGCAAGAAGAAGACGGCAAATAGAGGATGTTGCCGTAAGACAGGGGTGTCGATAAAGATTTTTTTCTTCTTAAACTGAGAACCCCTATCCACAATTCTCACGGAAAGCAGGGAAATAAACTCAAACAGGAAATAAATTTCGAAAGTTCCGGCGTGTCTCGGATGATCGCCGATTGCTACTAGACGTCTTTGAAGGCTAGAGCTTTCGGGTATTGCTACGCGTTAACGAGGGTCGAAAAGCGAATTAACTTCTCTACTGTGGCGTTCAGCTGAGAATATACACTCGGCGTTGTTTTCATTCCTCCGCGCGGAGTCGAAAGAAACTCCGTGACCAGACTTCATTAAAAAGTTGGGCCAAAGTGCGGGACATCGGCAGCGCGGCGTTGGCAAGTTAAATAGCCATTAAAATTTCCGATAGGAAACCGCGCTGCCTATCTCTCTCTCTCTCTCTCCCCTTCTCTCTCTCCGCCTCTCACTGTTTCCCTCTCTACCACCCTCTCTCTCGCGAGTTTCTGGACGGAAAGACGAATTCACCGATCGATAAGCGACCCGTATCTTTCGCCGGGGGTAGAGAAACTCGTAACTTCATAAACATTACGAAATTAGCCATTATTGGTTTCCCTCGTGATATAAGGAAACAACGAATCGTCCCTGTCGGTCGACGCCCTTGACTCGACGAATTGTGGAACGAGTCGAAGAAGGACGGGACGCCGCTGGCTAAAAGAGGACAGACCGGTGATCGTGCGAGAGAGAAAGAGGGGCTGAGAGAGGGAGAAGAAGCGAGCGGGAAAGGTTGAAGGAGAGAAAGAGACGTGCGACCCAGTCCCTGTGTGTGCATTCGTGTCCTCTTATTGGTGTGTCGGTGTGTCGTCGCCGCGGCGGATGGTGTTAGTAGCCGCTCATTGGTGTTCGCCGCGGCGGCAAGCGGCGTTCACACGTTTCCCGTCATCCACTTCGGTACCCGGCTCGCAGTAGAGCGTCGTTCGTTGCACGGTGCGGTTCGTGACGTTTCGCGATCCGTTCCCCGAATCGCTTTCGTTTTTACTACCCCTTACTCCGTTACCGTCGTAGCCGTCGTCGTCGTCAGTCGTATTCGTACGTATGTGTGTGACCAGCGTGCTGCACGCGTTCATCCCCTTTGTCGCCACCCCCAACATCAGGACCTGAGGATCGCGCACGAGTGTTCCGTCTTTTTTTTCGTTCTCGGTTCCCCCCTCTACCCCCCGTTTCTTTTCTTTCCCGTTTCTGGTGAACAAGTGCGAAACGTTGAAAGATCGGTTTTGTGTTTCTCGGAGTTTCTGTATCTCCCGTTGCAAATTCCGATCGCCCGTAGCTTGAGCTTCAGTGCCAAACGTGGATTAAAAAGAATCTTGGAGGCGACCGCCACCGGACATCAGGTACCGTCTTCCTTTTCGTTCTCATTTTTGTTTTCGTTCTCGCGGCTCCGGCGATTCCAGTTTCGCGCGCCGCCGTCGCGACGAATTATATCGCTCGTTGCGTCGTTTCGACCGCGTTCTCGACCGTTTTCCCCGCTCCTGCGTGTGCTGCGCGCCGAGCTAATCCCGTTTGTATACTAATTGTTTGGAATCGCGGCGACGGCGAGTGGTCGTGCTGCGAATGCAAAAATTCTTGGACGACGGTCGGACCGATCGTGAACCGTAGTCGATTTTACGTGTAAAAGGGAAACGGGATTGTATATTTCGGTGTATCGCGGTTTGACAGTGTTCCGGGTATGGCTTCTTCGAGATCGGTTGAAGTTTTGAAATGGAGAAGCGATTCGTAATGTGCTGCTCCAATTTCGTGGAGGAAACTTTGGAAAGGGAAGGAGGCACGAATTATTTGATTCGTGGGATGATTGAGGTGTTTGTTTCACGAGGATCTGTTGATTATTTGACGGTGTGTTTATTGAAAATGTGTCTGATCGAGAGTTTTTTGTTGTAAACGCATAGTTGTTGCGTCATAATTCAATATGACGGAATAAATTGTCTTTTTTTTAAAATTGTTAGCATTGAATGAACACGATAGCTGTAACTAATAGTTATGACAATGAATAAACGGCTGAAATAATGAATTATGTATTCATTATTGCATTTAATTTAAGAATAGGTGGGTAGTTTATACTGATTCTTATCTGAGCACACGTGCACTGGGGTAATTGCTGACGCTGTTTCTTTCATCAATTAAACTTCGTAGTATAAACTTTCATTGTTATGATTCATTTTTAGATATGGATTTTGGATGAACGATGATCATGATTTTTCATACATTTCGTCCACGAGGATATGTGGTATCATCGATTGGCTCAATTGGGATGGGGACGTCAAACGGTCGCAGAAAGTTTTTATCAACAGAAGTATATAGCGACTAATTCTCTTTTCCTGGTTATTAGGGTAAAATTTTCTGCAGAGTTATCAACGAAAGAATATCTAATAATTTGATCCTCTAACTTCGACGAGTTAATGTAATTTGGACAAGCGTGCTAAATTACCGTCTTATAAAAAGAAGCGTTGTCGTGTTGCATTCTAAGAAGACCATCAATAACAACGACTGTTAGAGTTCAAGCAATTATATCGACAAAATAAACAAGTAGTAAAGAAAGGAACTAGAAAACAGGAAACGACATAAACGATATCATTTAATCTAGTTTATTATAGAAAGCAATAGTAATAATGAAATCGGATAAAATATACAGCTTCACACATAACCGAAGATTAATTGGACACTATTCTCTTTATATAATAATAGAATCTCGAAGAAAGTAGTGATAATAAAATTTCTCAGTATCATGTTTACGAGTTCGACGAAAAACAGATTTGATTAAAAGCCGGGAGGATTGTTTCGGCGACACCTACTCGTAACATTTTCTGCATCGAACGTCAACGGAATGTACTTTCGTCGCGTGGGAACCGTGTCATTAATTATCTCCGGTGTCTATACACACTATCGCATGGCCGGTAACGGTTGTTTTCGTTAATTTACCGGCAACACTGTATCGTGTAACAGTAACCTTGATAATTGCCTTCGGTTTATTTCGTGCGTTGCCAACTCGAGTGGTGGTAATTATAGAAACACCGGTAGATTTCGTGTAGCCTTCCACGATGCGCCGGAAGTTACTTCTGCACATTCCAGCTGTGTCGCGCGATGCGATCGGCTTTTAATCGGTTCGATACCGCAATCGATAAGATGGCTCCTTCGACCGGAAAGTTGTTATGCATGCAGAAGTACGCGAATTACATTAGATTTGGATTGTACGAGTGTTCAATAAATAGCAATTTTTTTCTGCATTAACGACGCTTCGATTTATTCATTTCCACTTGTTAAGCAACGGATGAATACAATCTGACAAATATTTCCGTTTATTAATTAATTAATGAATGGAAAGAGTTTAACAAGTTTTTGATTCAAGATTCAGAAGGATGCCATTGTGTAATAAAATATAATGAAACTTTTACAAGTCTCACTTAATTCGTTGAAACTATTCGAACGTTAATTATTGAACTCATACTATATAATTTTCCGTTACTTGAATTTTTCACAATAATATTCAGAAAAGTTCCTTCATACAATGCCTCATTTTAGAGAAAGTTGAATTAAAATTCGTTCGGCATACGTGTGTTTGAATGCCATGTGACTTACCTGTCTGTTACTCGTTGGTTTTACTTAGAGTTAAAACTGTATATAGTCACAGTGCTGTATTACTTATTTCTCTTAATAACGCAATCCAATTTTGTAATCAGGAAATATAAAGGTAAAAGAAATAAGGTATAATTGCGTAACGTACGTTTTAAGTAGAAACGGTTAGTAGTAGACAGACGTATTAAGTAATTCTAAGATCGATTTTCAAGCTCATATATCTCAAAGAATTTCTAAAGTTAAGTGAATCGACAAATAATTTCATGCGTTCATTAATTTGATTCTGTTTACTAAAAATAACAGAATAGTTTTTACTCTTTGCCTTTTATTTATGTTATACAAGGATGTTCTTATATTAAAATTAGCTTATCGTACAAAAATTTTTGTTTTATAAGAGTGAATGTGAACGTTTAAGACATGTAAATACTTTCCGCAAAATTAAGCAACTGGTGGTGGTGGTTGAATTTTAGAATGGACCTTCGACAAGCTTTGCTTTTTAACAGTTTATTAAACGATGCCAATGGCGGCACTTTCGACGCAACGCAGCTGCGAGGTAAATTACCGGAGAGGGACACGATGGTAGCGGGAATGGGGATTCGGTACGAGTCGAGGGTAATCGCGAATCAGCGTACACGGCTCATTAAATCATCGAGACAATCGACACGTTTTACTCGCCACTTTCTTCGTCGTGGTCTGCTTCTTGGAACGTTATACGTTGTATTTCTTTTTCTCTCGTGTTGTTCTATTTCCGTCATGTGACCAACCCACTTATTGTTAGAATAGATGCGTACGTGCATTGTTCAACAAAACGTTAAGACAATAGGAGAAATAAATAAATGTTTCATATCATATATACAAGTTTTTGATTGAAAAATAATTTTCGGATGTTAATCTTGATTTTTCACAGTAATTAAGATATTTTGACACTTTTTATTCCCGTAAAGTTCCTCTGGAGATGAATCTGTTAAATGAGAAATTTGACATTATTGTCAATACAATGTATTTTCGTATTGTCTTGTATATCTTAGAAACTAAAGTAAATACGACAGAATTGTCTATTGTAATGAGAAGATAATGCTTTTTAATACAGTATAAACGATTTGGTTAATATTTCTAAATCTTTCGACGCATGATGACTTGAAACGTGTTCCTATTGTGATTCATAATGACTTGCACGAATCTTTTTTCAAAGGACACTGTTAAATGTGACATTTTAAGATTCTATGGATTTGTTAACGAATATTTGAAGGATATAGAGGAATTGTTTGAAGTATAAAAATATGTTTATTCTGAAATTATAGCAATTATTGGAAATACAATATTTCCAACATACTAATAAGGAGAAAATGTTACGGGTTACCGCAGTATCACTTGAACTGTCCATTTATCAAGAGTTAATCAATATTACTCTCAACTTAATCCTCTCCATCCGAAATGAGCATTTGATTTTCAAAAACGTTACACGAATCGAAGGACATTAAACGCTGATACAAATATGATAATATTCTCTTGCTCCAGACACTTTACTCTGAATTGGCACAGCGATTACAGAAAACTGTGGACACGATTCCACGATGGCTTTGTTAGATAGTAGACTGTGTTTATCTTGCGCATAACGAAACAGGGGAATTAGCGGTGTTCGATTAAGTCGGAACAAAAGTCGGCGAACACATTCGTCCCGCCTATTGTTAGCCAGCCTCGTTGAATGGCGGGGATGAAGATGTGCTTATAGGGAGGTCGACGAAACGCGATTACAAATGGGTAACACCGCGACCATCCGATAAAAGAATCAGATCACTCATAGAATAAAAAATAATCATTCATTAACCCTTTAACACTAGGTTTAAAAGTATTTATTGTACAGTTTATCCTATTGTTCTTAGAAAAATTAATGTTCGTTTATTTAAATTTTGGGAATTAGGGATTTGATAATAGATAATTGGGATACAGATCTCCGTAATTGCATCAATCGAAATCGGCATAAACATTTACAAAATAATATTTACAAAATTCAATATACGTCGAATTGACACGTTCCGTAAACCTATTGTTACGAGCAGAGTCCAGTTTCTGGTTTAACTCCCTCAAATTCATTGAAAATTTAAATGTTTTGGCGCTTCTGATGGTTACCTTTGTATCTAGAAAGTAGAAAAAATTATAATTAACACATGGACTGCCACGTCACCCATTCCTTGTATAAACTTAAACATTAATTTCCTTGGTACCGTATCGAACGAATCGAATATTGTTGGATGCATGAGATATAAGAAAGGTACTAGAGCAATCGTTATAAAGAATCTTGACTTTTTAATTTCTGTTTTGCCAAGAAAACTTTTTCGACTGCATAGAAGCTTGATGAGTGTTTACACCGATGTCGTTCTCGAAAGATTAAGCCTTTGCACTCAAGAAGCTCAGTCGCCACGTGATCTGATACACCAAAATTCTAAAGTTAAAATTCATTATTAACCTTCGTAGCACCAATGCGTGAAACATTGAAATAAAAACCTTTTTTTTCCAATTTATCTACGATTTCTCTTCAAATCTCTTTTAAAATATGTTATCTAAATCATCTTAGAAAAAAATGAACACTTCCAGCGAAACATTTCCGAGTGCAAAGTGTTAACTCCTTGCCTTCCGATAAGAGGCATCCGAAAATTTCCGTATCCCCATTCCGAAAATAGAATTTAACAAAGATTAATATTACTCAATTCTTGTAAATTCTAATTAAATATTCTTTTTTTGTTATCAATTGTTATGTTGTAGGGAAAAAGTAGACATAGAACATGCACAAAATGTTTCTCCTTTTTCAATAAACTATTAATGACGAAGTTGTTGCATCGATTACAGGTGGAAAATAAATCATAGAGCAAAGGGTTAAACCGCGGTTCACCTGCGTCGTTTCGAAATTCCCAAAAATACGAAAGAACCTTTAGCCTAATGTCACATTCAACGGTCGCAGACACGTAACGATAGACTGCAATCTTCGTTAACTATTTAAACGCGCGACTACGTTGCAGTTTCGCCGGTTATGGCCTTCGCGTAAATCAATGGTGGTCTCGATGTCGAACCGCCTTCATAACTATCCCGTGATATAGAGGCGCGCGCGCGAGCGCACAGGGCGGGGGATCGATGTTTCTGTTATTATCGTTCGGTAATCGGTGTTTTCTCCCGAATGTTAATTAACTGAATAAACCGTGGCCCGGGCTGTTTATCGTGCACGACGCACGCTCCACGCACTGACATTACGAAGTCGCAAGCGAAACACCGTCGTCATTCCCGTCGATGAAACCGCAATTTCGTTAGTCACGGGTCGGCGTGCGGGGAATCCGTTAAATAAAAGAGGTGGGGGGAGGGTGGGAGAGGTGCCTCGGTATTTGACCGTGTCGCGATAACGATCGCGAGCGAAAGAAATCACGGGGATCGCGTGGTCGGGGATCTGGGCGGCGATTACGCGAGATTCGTGATAACTTCCTTCGTGACTTGCCCGCGTCACGTTCGCCTCGCTGCTCTCCCCATCGCCGGGAACAGGATGTATAGGTGTCTTTGAACAGCTGCCGCGTGTATTCCCGTTTATTTTCCTTTTCACGAATTTCATCAAAGCACACGTCCCCGACTATCTTCTGCCCGTGTGTATCTTCTGGCTGGTCTGGAAGCGTAGTCACGAAATTTTTGAGCGAAGATCAGTTTTCTGTTTTATTTTTTCTTCTTTTTTCCCCCGGAACTTTATTCTTGATTTTATACTTTGTTGCATATATTTTTATGATTTTGAATGAGTATTAGACACGCGGCGTATGTAATAATTGTGATGCGATTCGATTGTTGTTTACGGTATCTGCTTTTTTCATGGTTGAATAATTTTGGAAGAGTATTCTATGATGAAACCGGGTAAATTGTTTTATATAATTCTACCGTGCCTTGATTGATGGAAAATTTATTAGTGTGCAGTGGTTTAATGAATTTTACGGTGCGCAACGGAATTATTTACAATTCGAGCGGAAAAAATCATTCGGGTGGAGTACGTATGCAGCCGGCAGATTTATTGTTGTCGTTGTAGACATCGAATTTTTGAACGTTTTGTATCCCACGTCTAAATTGATTGTCCGTAAACTCTATGAATAAATTTTTCATCTACCGTGACCTATACGTGTCGCCGTAGCGATACGCAAATAGGCGATAAAGGCGACGCGCGTTAAAACCGCTGAAAGTTTTCATCGCTCTCGTTTATTGCAAATTGATGGAAATGACTGTTCGAATTTGTCCGAGAGTTTTTCACGCACGCCCGCTCCATTATACGTCGCCCGTGAAATATATTATCCGCAGAGAACGGATTGATAACGGAGTTACATGACTCCATTTTCATGTTACACGGAACATCATCCTGTGTTACAAAGAGACCGTAATGACGTGGCGCGCGCGCGCGCGTTTGATTGTCACGGATGTGAGGACCAGCTAGTAATAACTGTACCGAAGGTGTATATAGAAGTTCACGCCTTTTTGTAATTCACTTTATGCAAATATTCATTCCCGGCTATTTGAACTTTCGAATTTTGACCCTTCGAATCTACAAACCTTTCGAATTTCTCATTTTTCTTAGCTGTGATCCTTTGAACTTTTAAATCTTCACAATTCTAAGTTTTGAAATTTTTGAATCTTTGAAACATTGAACCTTTGGATCGTTGAATTTCTAAATCTTTGAATCTTTGAATCTTTGAATCTTTGAATCTTTGAACCTTTGAACCTTCGAATCTTTGAATCCCTGAATCTTTGATAAATATCATATGCTAAAAAGAAATGATAATAACGACAAAATTTCACTTCCTCTGTTATATATTTAAACATCATCGACGTGTTCCATTACTCTATACGATATTGTTTACACGTTACTTTACTGTGAATATCGGGAACACGATGTTAATGCTCGAAAGAGTACTATTTACTGAAATAAAACTTAAAAAATGCGGTACAGTTTCCGTACGTGACGTTTTATACATGCGACAGCTTTGCGTTCAGTTTGTACTGCGGTACGAACGCATTTTCTTCTCGCCTTCTTTCCTCTCGCCTGTCTTTTATTTCCTTTCATTGTCGCGCGTTCGAAATACGCCTCGAAGATTAGGATAAATGTGCCCGCTGCGGCTTGAGGGCATATGTTTACGCAACTCGTAAATCGAACGATAAATTGATCGGTCGGTTTCATAAACCCGCGTCCGCACGCGACCGGAGAGTATAAATTATTTAAAAATCAATATGCGACTCGTCGGCGGCGTTTCCGGTAGTTTTATGGAAGCTGAAAATAAAAGCTGTTGTTTTTTAAGCCTACGCTGCGTTCGCTCGTTGTTTTCGCGTTAAAGTTAACGCAAGGTATTTGTCTTACGGAGCGTGCTAATTGCAAAAATATCCATGTTACATGTACAATGTGTTTAGAAAAACGGTTAAATTAATAGAACACACGAGAAAACTAAAACAAGAGGAAAAAGATCAAGAAGATCTTATCCACGTATTTTAGAACACTGAATATTCTTTGTTTCATTTAGGATTTCTATTAATCGAAGAACAGAACTATTCTGTAAAAGCAATTTAAAAATAGTTGGAAGCTTTCGTAACTTAATGAACCTCCTTGCATCATTTATATATACTTTTAGACTACACTATCAATAAATAGCCAGTCAGCATCATCATAGTACCACGCTACCGTATTTCCACAATCAATTCATCGCATTAATCGTCTAAGCGTAATGATACAAAATTCAGTCAATAGAATATTTTTCCTTTTATCATATAACGCGAGTAGATGAAACAAAAATGTCACCTTACTTGCAGTAATGTCTTTTCATCTCCCACCTGAGGAGAAATTGAACTTCAATAATTAAAACTGCATGAATGATTGAATAGTTTACTTCTTATTTATATTATCAATGCGTTTAATAATTATTAGTCTAAGAATCTTAAGGATTCTATTAGGCTGAGACCACTGTGTGGTTCAACAATTTGATTAGTCGCGCGTGTATTACGCGAAGTCACGCTGAAGTCCCGCGGAGCGAGTGAACGGTGTAGCTCGGTTTCGCTGAAAGTAACGAGTCGTGTCGTGTTATAATTACAGCCGGCGAGAGGATCTCGATGGTGAACGGTGAGGGAGGACCACTGGCGTTTCTCCAGGATCCCGAGGATGTCCGCGGAAAGATCAGGCCAGGGAATGGATCATGAAGTGACCGCGCGCAAGGGACACAGTGGACACGTGTGATTCCTCGACAAGTATTTAGCCACAATTAAGATGTACCCCGCGCCGGCGAGACATCCAGCCGCTGCCGTAAGTACCCGACCAGCCGAACAAGGAGGATTCCTTTCGCGTGTTTTACCTAGCGCCGCATCTCGCTTGAAACTTTCTCGAAACGCGCTGGGCAAAACAGCCGAGGTCAGGCCGCGTGCTCAGCTGTTGCACGCGGGGCAAAAAAAATGATGACCGGTAAAGTAAGTGCATTTACTCGACGCGGCTCGAGATACCGCGAACTTACCCAATTTTTATCGCGTCCGAGGTAGTTTCAGCACTCGCAGGCCTGAGACCGCTAATTTTTGTGACTCGCTCGCGGCGGGTAATTCTTGTGACTTACGACCTTGCATCGCGAGGCGTGAATCATAGGAGAACAGTATTTACGCGGTGTCGACCGTGCACTCCGCGGAAACATTATCAGAAGGTGAGAAAGTTCTGCGGGAAGTCTCGCGAAAATATTTTTCACGGATACGTTAGAAATTGTGGTTTAGTCCAGACACGATCATGTTGGATTTAACCCTTTGACTACGGTGCATTGAAAAATGAAACGGACCAGTCTTGTATTTGTCCATGATGAATGCACAATTTACGGGAATTATAGGGTAGACCGGGGCGAATCGTCATATTTAACTTCACATTTATCAGCGAAAAACTAATAGTTAAAACTTATGGTTAGTTTTTTGGAGTTGACTCTTATTATTATATCTTTTATTATTCTGGGTTCTGTGATCCCTGATTTGCCTCTTTTTGTACGTGTGTATATAAATAAACATGATAGTTTTAATTATAGATATAAAAAATGAGGGAAACTAGAGATCCTTCACCCCGTACACTTTGATCCGAATAGCCCAGTTTCTACGGATTTCAAAGTGGATATGGTAAATGAACAGAATACAATAGAATAGTTTAAAATACATTAAATATTGAATTTTGTCATTTTGGAGACTAATAATAATAAACACATTTGAATTTCTAAAGCTTAACTTGCCATTTTAAATGCGAAATTTCGAATAACGTATTTTAGACAAGCCAAGAATTCGTTACATTCGCGTGCGTTCGCTTCGATTCTAACACGTGCTGGTGGCAAATAGTGGTCTGACACAATTGCAGATATATTGGATTAAGTGTAGGGGAAGGTGTACGAAGTAATAAGAGCAGTTAGCATGCTGATTTCTATAATAACGTAACAAATATGGCCAATATTCTTATTTGTATCCGATTCGCCCCGTCATCCGTTTCGCTTTAGTCTACCTTATTCGATTCGTGTGGAAAAAATTCTGAGCAGGAAGTATATGATGCCTGCACGCGAAAAACAAACGGGTTAATGTGCATTATTAGACAGTTGTTTAAAACAAATTAACGACGCCTATAGGCGCTGTTCGCCCGAAGAGTTTGACTCTTACTGAACGCCTATAGTCGCGGTTCGCAGTTAAAGTGTTAAGGTGTGACCATAGAATAGGGAAGTTAGCACTGCGGCATCCGGTCATTTGTCATTCGAAAACTAGAATCAAAGCAGAGCCGAACGATTCAAATGAAATTGGAGATCTAGGGAATGCAACTGAGCTAACCTTGATTCCAGAAACATAATTTATTAAGTTAGAGGATCCTTGGATCACAGAGTTCGAGTTATTCCGGATTCCTAAGATATGGAGGTCAGTATCTTCAGTATCTTCGGACTGTAATTCAAGAATCCTCGAACCTTTGGGTTTCTTGATTAGAGGATCCTTGAAGCTCTAAGAGCGAAGGAGCTTTTTAATTGAAGGGTTGTTGAATTTTTTAAACTCTTCGATTAAGTATCATCCCAGTCCTTATAAGATTCTACGTAATATTACATTCCTAATACTAACACAGAAAAATATTTCTCTAATCCACGCGAACGACACTCCAGTACACCTAAATATCGATCGCAGTCCACCTACATCCAGCAGGTTTTTCTTCTAAGAACATTCGAGGGTTTCCACGTTTTCCTCAGCGGTGCGATTAAAAAGCGAAGCTTCGTAAGACGATTCAAACGAGTCGGTGACGAGCAAAGCTTACGGAAGAAAGGATCAGCGTGGAGTAATATAATTGCGGAGGCCATCGTAGAAAAAGCATTCCCCTTTATACGGTTTACTCGGCCGTCTTTTAGATTTTCATTTTCTTGCTGCAAATAATTCCGCTATTCAAAGAATGCCCTGCCGTCGCTCACTGTCCCGCTCTCCTTTTTTGCTCTTCTTCCTTCGTTTCTCCTTTCCTCCCTTCCCTCTCTCTCTCTCTTTCCTTCGTTTCTCGTTTTTTTAACGCTTCCAACCTGCCCCGTTATAATTTCACGCGTCACATAAGCTCAAAGTCCTTTATGCGAAGCGAGACCACCGGGGAATTCGTCGACGCGGGAGAAGGCCTCTAGAAATTGTACAGATTATTTATAGTGCGAGAGAGAGGGCAGAGGGAAGAGTCAACGTACAACAATTGTCGTTGGCAGAAGCGGCCACCGGACGATATGTGGCCGCGACTCCGCCGTTTGTTTGCTTATTGCCGCTAATGTGGCGCCGTTCAACGGGCATAAAGTGGTTCAATAATTTTCGCGCGAGCATTCTTGCTGCGTAAAACAGTCCACGACGATACGCGAATCGGTTTAGGAGTTGGCGGATGTACCCGGTGTATCGAAATGTAAAGACGTTCGCTTCGGATCTGACGAAAAAATACGGTCTTTAACCCTTTCCGGTCGGAGGACTGCGAGAGTGGGCAACCCGATTAGTCATAGCATTTATCTGGTAATAAATTAACATATGGTTTATATTTATTAATTTTTATATAAGTATGTTTAAAATATTTATGATTTATACTTACTTATTTGTTTAACAATTACGATAATGGCTGATGAAACAGTTGAACATTTGACACTCAACGGTAAAAGTACCTTGTCCAGTCATACCTAGATTTCGGCTGGAAAGGGTTAACATTAGGTTTACGGACGTTTATTGTACACTGCAGCCTTTCCGTGTTGACTGAGCTCTGTCAAGTTCTGAGGGGAGTGGGGTAAGGGGAATAGGCCACACGCTCCACCTCTATCCTTCCAGGAAACATAGTAGCCGAGCCTTCGTCTGCTCGGGGTTCGGTGAACATGAAAAGCACAGTGCGGCCGCCTGTGGACAAAACCCAAAAATTCGACTATTCACATAACAAAATTGAAGGATACCAACCTGTTGCTAAGTAGTCCCTGGTATACAAAATAATTTTTATTTGAAAAATTAATGAATAATAACTACTGTTCAGCACGCTCGAAGATTGTCTTACAGACATACCGGGTTTACCAGGTATTTCAATTTTTAACTTATATTCATTGTTAAATATATTTATACACATTTCTAACAATGTAAAATATTCTCCGTGGCATGTAGATCTGATTTCACATAATATTGTATGAATAAATTCCGTTTCTCTATTTACATAACATTGCAATCGAAACGCAAAATATCCATTGTCATTGCAAATACTTTATAATATTCCTATAATGTAAAAAATATAACCACCATGTGTTTAGCTCTATACCTTACAACTTTTGTTTGAAGCATGTTTTTATATTACTCATTCTTTTTAATCTGTTAACTGTGAAATTTCATTTGAAAAATCTCTAATAATGAGTTCGATGAAATCAAAGAATGAAGTGTATACTGATCAAACGCAGGCCAAATACATGTATAATATATTCTAATGAAAAACTATAGAAAACGGATAAGAATTACATGTTTCTTTGAAAAAGTAAATAATTGATCGCTGAAAGAATTAGTATCATTTTGATTTTAAGATGACGTGTATACTCGTCGAATGCAGTTAACTGGTTGAACTATTGAGTTTTGTTCAGAAAACGGGCGTTTGGCTGCATTGTGCGCCGCACAGAAAGGAAATCTAACATCAATGTTCGTTCTTCTCACTTCATCGTACTTCGTTTCGCTTGCTTTCTTTATTGCGTGATTCGACCAGTAACAAGCACATGTCACTGTTGCCAGAACTATCGGGTCGAGCGCCGCGAGTGGACGTCTCCCCTTGCCCCTCTTCCTTCAAAATTTGATAGAACTCGGCCAAGACGTGAGAGCTGTACTGTATAGTTTATTTTATCGTTTTGAGTAAAATGGATATCCATTCATTTAGATTTCAGAAATTAGGGGTTAAAAAATCTAGGCTTATGATATATACTCGTACAACTGCATCAATAAAAAACGACGTAAACATTTGGGAAGTAATGTCTATAAAATTCAATATGCGTCAAATTGACGCGTTTTGTAAACCTAGTGTTAATTTTTTACACTCGAAACACGTACCACTCACGTCGAGACGTGTTTGTTGTAAAATTGCTAATGACGTCTTATGCACATTGATAGTTTTGTTACATTGCACGTGCAACATTGTTATGAAATGTATCACTTATACAAAATTATTAATAAATAAAATTAGTGTACATATCTGCGTGAAATAGTTAAAAACAAAATTCGTCGCGCAAGACTTTGTCAAATCTTTGCATTTATTTATAGCGCAACAGGTTAAAATACAAAAACATATTAACGCTGGAACCCGTTGATTTGAGGAATATTAATTTTCATAAACATTATTTGGTAGAGATCCATGTCAATTTTGATTGATGCAATTATAATAGTGTGTATTATAATCCTCTGTTTTAGAAACTATAATTTCCAAGATTTATATGAATGAACTTATATTGTTTTAGGAGCGACACAATAAAGTGTACAATAAGTGCCCGAAAACCTAGTGTTACACTTCCAGATTTGTATTAAAATTATAATTTTAAATAGCGCGATTGTTATTTCAAAAATTTTAAGTGGTTATACATAAACTGCCACGTAATTTGAATAGGTATTTTAGATTTAGTTTTTGTGAAATATAATAACGGGAAAAATTTTTAGTAAGGTCTAAGGTTATTTTCTACGAAACGATATTAATCTAGTTATGTTTGGAAGCTATTAATTTAAGGTCTCCCTATATATCGTCTTAGCGTTTTAGGATTACTAAAACTAAACAGGACACCACGACTACCGGGAAGA